TCAGTCTAACACAAAAGGCGACCTGCTCTCTGAACACTGAGAGGAACAACATTGACATCAGAGGCAACCAACAATGGAAAGGATAAAACACAAACCGATCTTATCTCTAAACTTCCCGACATTAAGAGTGTTTATTTTTTATTTGTCCGGCTTCCCTTCTTTCTTCCCCTTTCTTTTCTATTTCCTCTTGTCAGTAATGGTATCATTGTGTATTGAATTGGGCTGATTGTCATTACTTCTGACACGGATGGCAGTTTGTCTACAGGGTGGATATAAGAGCTGGAGATAATAACATAAAGCTGTTGACGTATTGATGGACGGGTTAATCGAAAAAGAATAAAATCCATCAAAAACCTTATGTTTATCGACAGAACCCAGTGTCAGGAAACTCTTTAGTTTTCAAACATGTGTTCTCCGTTATGTAAGCGATCTGGTTGTGTATGTTTTACTACTATGACAAGCTTCCTGGCTTTGTTCATTGTGTGTGTATGATAGCATGCACACGGCTAATTGTAGTCACAGTCTTATTTTGAAATCTGCAGTTGGCGGCTTCCAGGCATTGTGACACTCATTTCCCTCTCATTCTAAGGTTCAGGTCGGTCCATTGTCTGCTGTACCCAGACACTGCTTGGTGCCCCCGCCCCCGGTGACTCTAACCCCCGACCAGAGACACACTGACTGCTGGAGGAGGACAAATAAATCTCTGGTGTAACTCAATTTGTCACTGAAGGAGGAAGAAATCATTGCAGACATCCAGGAATTCAGAGAGGAGTCTCGCTGCTGCCCTCCTCTGGCTCACCAGGGAGGAAGAATCTCTCACGTCCAACAGCAGTCTGGGAAACAGACTTTTTTTACGAGGGCCTGCCATTTTATTAGTTTGACACCTGAACTCTGACTCTGTGGACTGTTGTTGGGTGTCAAAGGGCCACAAATTGTAACAAGAGAAAGAGACTAAAGGTCAGATATATCAGTTTGAACCAACAAACGATCCAACAGATTGAGATTATATCAATTGACTGCTGTTTGATTAAGCTTTTTTTCTGCTTTTTCCATGGTAAGAGAATGTGTTACTTGCCCACTCTGTGCCCCTCACATGCTCAAGTGTTATCAGTTTGTAATGTACTACATGAAGGAACAATTATTTGTTATTTCTCAGCCTAATGAGGCTAAAAGCATCTGGGAAATGTTGATGGTTTTATCTGACGCTTATCCTTTCCGTATTCAGTATTATCTTTTCTCTGAAGTATATCATCATGACTGTCATTACGCCGTCTTATTTCTGCTTATCTTCAATTAATTTGGGGGAATACGCTCATTTGTTTTCACAAGAGGGTTAGATAATATGGTCATATGTGAGCTTTAGAGCCGATGGTAAACTTATTTGTTTACTCTCAGACAAAAACAGGCTAACAGTTTCCTCCTGTCTTTATGCTAAGCTAAGCTAACTCCTGGTTTAAGCCACTACTATTTTTAATACAGACACAAAAATAAAAGGAAATCAATGCATTTAACTCGCATGAAAGCAAATGATAGTATTTCTCCAATTTAACAAACCTCTGAAGTTCATATATTAACTCATTTGGTGAGGCCTCTGTTACAAATAATGCTTTTGACTGCCTCTATCCATTCCAATAGCTGAATTATGATCATTAATGATGCTTTTTACACAGTAGCAGTGTAACAAATATGTCCCGAATGACTCATGTTGGGTCGTGTTTTATCTTTCTGTGCTTTGAAAGCAGTTGTTTAACTGAATGAAAGTTGTTCAATTTAATTCAGTCCCGTGTAAATTGAATGTATATGATGAACCGTTGCTTCTGAAGCGAACATGCTACCTCCAGTATCTGGACGGTGTGTAGAGACATGGAATAAAAACAGTTTTCTTTTGATATGGTTCTGTGATTTTCTGCCCTTTGGGTGGGTTTGTGATGGGCCCTCCTCCCTCCTCCCACCTCTGACCTTGTGTATGTGCTGGCGGGTTCCTGTCTAGAGACCCCCACCCCTCTGCATCTGTAACCCCACAAACACAAAGCCTCTTATCTGATGCAGCCATACACAAGACCCCGTAGAGGTGTGTGTGTGTGTGTGTGTGTGTGTGTGTGTGTGTGTGTGTGCGCGCGCGCGCACACCCAAGGGAGACACACAGAAGTGAATCTGTGATCTGCTTGTGAGTGACACCTGCTGGATGCCTCTGTTACTGCAAACAGTAGCACGTGCTTCTTAAAGAGGACATAACATGCTAATTGTCAGGTTCATAGTTGTTTCTTGTGCCGCTTCTCTGATATATTAACATGCTGTTCTAACTGTCTTTATTTCTCTAATACTGCCTGTGTTGCCACACCTCTTCCCTCCCTCTGTCTGAAACCAGAGCCAGTGTGGGGGAGGGAGTTTGGGAATTTAGCTTTACAGACCATTAACATACACACAAAATAATACAGGAAAGGGGAAACCCCGATAACTTAATAGGGCTGATATTCTTCTGAGCATTTATTTATATATTTCCGTGAGCTGGAAGTACATTTTAAAGCTCTCCTATTTGGCCTTGTATCTTATAACATTTTAAAATATAAAAGAACAGGTTAAGGAGCCTTTTTTTTTAGCTCAGGGGTCTAAAATATATCTGCATTGAGTCACCTTGACTTGTTTTCTACATCTGACATCTGTTAAAACTACTATTATTAAATGATGAGCATCCTAAGGCGTTGAAGAAAAAACAATAAACTATGAATAAAACACATCATGCAGATGTTCTCACATATTTATATCCAACAGCTGCTGTGAAATAAACGCAACTTCAGAAAGGTTGCTGTGTATCATTGTGAAACACACACAAGGATTGGATGAGATTAAGTTATTTCTCTTATCCGATCTTTCACTCTATTTCGTAGGTAAGGCTTAGCTATTAATATAGAGCAATATGTGTCATCTTAACCATTTACATTCAATGCATCTTGCAACATATGAGCTAATAACATATTAGAAAATGTGAAAGTTAGCTAGAAAAAACTACTTAAATATTAAAGTCTAATGTGAAATCTTTAAAAACCTTGAACTTTTTTAAAATATCTTATAGCTAAAATGTTGCAAACTTGACAGGTCCAGCTTTGGCTTTGAAGGTCCCATGTCATGGCCATTTCTACTGATCATAATTGACCTTTCGCAAAGCCACGCCCCCCCTTGGTTACTGTTGCTAGTCCGACAAGCTGAGAGCCAGATGCGTTAAACAAAGCCATAATGGAGGGTCTCCGTAACGTCGGAGTCGCCTTAACAGACTCAATTTGGAGCAATAACGCAGCAATATCCTCCAGGTCCCGACAAAAGGGGCTACAATACGCTATGGAGGGTTATATCCACAGTATAAACATTAGAAAAGAGGGAGGCACAACATCAAGAGGCACTTGCATACAGGTCGCAGTGCAAGAGTGAAAAACCACATGAGTTGTATGTCAAATTCGACGGAATTATTATTATTATTTTGGAATAAAACAATACAATCACAAGAGGCATTAAATGTTGTAGTTTNTAATGATGCTTTTTTCTGTGAATTCAAAATGTATGTCATGTAGGAATCCTTACATGTTAAGTGGTTTCACAGTAAAATAGGTCGGGTATTCACGTATTATATAAGGTTGTGTGTGTGTGTGTGTGTGTGTGTGTGTGTGTGTGTGTGTGTGTGTGTGTGTGTGTGTGTGTGTGTGAGCAGGATCACATCTGTGTTACATCACAAGGTTCAGTTGGAATAAGGGGTAATAAGAGAGACGGATGGTTTTTGTGGTGTAAATGACACACTGACTGAAGAGGGCAGTGAACGCCACTTTCTCTCTTTCTCTGTTGCTTTTTCGCCTGTCAAAGAATGAGGCATTAACTCTCGTATCTATTTGGGAAAAATGTGTCTGGAGCACTCTTTTAGATGTGTTTGGTAAGCTCACCAGATGTTGTTGAAAGACAAACAAAAACACACTTGCACACACTTGTAAACATTCAAATATTCACACACAGTCAGAACCAGTGGTGGAGTAGATTTCTCAACAAATTCACGCCAGAAGTTTAAGAGAAATGTCATTTGTTAACAGAATGGGTGTTAAAATGTCATGTGGAGTACATTTAAAGGGAAATAGCTAGCAGTCTGTTGCTTTATGATCAAAATGGCCACAGGAACACATGCAGAGATCTTTAAATAGGAACAAAAGCGAACACATTTTCCACTCAACATAAAAAACTTTGACCTGTCACCGAACATGACTCATCAGAGACGGACACAGGGTGTAGGTGTTAATGGGGGGGCGGACGATGGGCTTTTGAAGCCTTGATGTTGGGCAGGGGGGGGATCAGTGTTTTTTGATGTCTTTGGTTTACTCGTAGGTCATGTAGCACCCCCACTTCCCCTGCCATTTCCTCCCACTCTCATGTTCCTTCCATGTTTACTGTCCGTTGCAAACTGCAGCATTGTGCTTCCTACAACTAGTTATTTAGTGATCGGCATCAACTCTACTCTGTCTACTACTGAAGGAATTATAACTTATATTTATAACGCTGTGAGAACGCCCCTGCTGAGAGCATTTCTCCGCGATCCCAACTCGTCTATTACAAGCGTTCAGGGAGCTCAATGCAAGTCAATGGGGACTCCCTGTTAGTTAGCCAAGGGATCCTGGTGTGTGAGGTGCTCCGCAAATTGGTCCATTTGGGCCAATCCGGTCATTTGTTGTTGATTTGGGTGTTCACACGTCACAGAAACCAGGAAGCAAACAATGGAAAATGATAAATCTCCAACGAGGCGTTCTGGGGCAGCATAGAAGGCTCTTTTCTGTGTTAGTTTTACTCGCTACAGGGTGTACTTTGAGGGTTTTTGACTCTGCAGACCGTTTACATGCATAAAAACCTTCATAACACACAAGGGGACGGGTAATAACCAGAAAAGCTTGACATGGGACCTATATCAAGATGTCAATGAAAAGCACAATTTTTCGTTCACCTTTCATAAAAAGCACCCATAGTCTCAATCAGTACGTTAAAGTTGCTTTAATTTCTTTTTTAAAACATTTATTCCAGGCTGAATGATATCATTACCACAGTTTTGACATGTACATCATTAATATCTTAGTTAAACCATCAGAAAATAAAAACAGCCATAGAAAACATTGTTTGTCCTTCACATCTGGACAGGAGGTGTACTTGAAGTCCTGTAAATACCACAAACACACAAACATCTCTGACTCTTACACATGAGCGTGGACCTTGTTTTCCATCAAAAGCTGACTGGGACCGGGTGTTTCGATCCCAGAAAGCTTCACACAGGAATTCAAATACAACTTAAAGTCAGGTGTGCAGATTACACTGGAATAGTTTTATTAAAACATTGCAAGACAGAGAGTCATTCACCATTAATAAGAGAGGAAAACCGCTGCTCTTGCCTTTAATCTCCTACAAAACAGCTAGCTAATATTTTATCTTTAAAGTTGGATTTTTACAAGATAAGAGAAAAATAAAAAACATGTTGTGATATGAAGTGTTGTAAGAGTTTAAAAACATTATGAAAGGCCATTAATCAGTGACTAGTCCACAGATCTTAACACTGTTTGCATTTACGGTGCAAAAAACACTGTAAAGTACTAGACCATAGGTAGCATTGTTACCATAACATGGATATTTTCTTTCTAGTAAAATCACACATGTAAGATTGTCTCGCCAATACGAGAAGTGGTCATTGATTAATAACATATTAAAATGCTGTACAGGAATGGTGGTTGAAAAGTGTTTGAATGTTCACTTACTTAGTTATTTACCAGGTTTCTCTGAACAAACTACATCACCCATAATGCAAATCAGTGTGATGTCACAGCTGTGGGAGGGTGTGCAGTCACGACAGCTCTACATGTTAATGTAAACAGGACCAAAGTAGGGAAAGATGGATTTTTTTGAAAGAAACCAAGTGTGTTTTGTCTGTACAGCATGTGTGTGTTTCGATGTGTGAGGGCATGCGTCTGTGTAGAAATGACTCGGGCTAGATGCCAGTCACACACACTGACCACTGTACGTACACACAGCAACACTGAGATAGAGCAACAGCCAATGATGTCACACACACGGCTTCACAAATACAGTTTTTATACACTACAGAGTTTTAGAGCGGGAGGGAAAACCACTAGCAGTGCGTTTTACTTCTCCAGCTCGCAAAGTCACCTTGAAGAGAATTTGTGCTTGTGGGTTTAAACAAATAAAAGACTACTGGTGGCAAAGAGGTCAGTCCAAGGTCACCAGTTAACAAAATAAAAGCACAGGAAGAAAGAAAAGACAGAACACGACTTGGTCACTGTATCACATCCTGAATTCAGCTTATGATTTAACGTTTAAAAAAAACACCCACTTTCCTTCAGTTTGTAACACTTTGATGTAACATGAATAATCAGGGACATGATTTTCAGGATCCACGACACCATTTCCATTCAGTCATAATGGAAAGCTGTTTTCATTTGACTGCTCTTTTTCCTTATGTTATCCCTGAATTAAAAGAAAACATTAAAGTAATAAAAAAGGTTTCCGTTGCTCCTCAGTCCCGATCGTCTTCTAGCACTCTGACTGGCGTACATAGCACCTGGCAAATATGTAGTCGCAATATTTAATCAGTGAGATTTATTCCATTTCTGTCCATCGTCTTTGTTTTTAAGTGTCTTTCCTGTCCCTTTTTTTATTTACAGTCAGAGGGAAAACATTCCACGTGAGTTGTTTCCTCTTATTAGAGACACGAGGAGGCAGTAGGAGAACAGGACAGAATGAAGGCATCCCTCGTTATTCAGAGTTTTTTGGCACAGGCTGAGCCTTCGTGTGTCTCTCGCTCCACAACAGCGTTTCCTGGCTCAAGTTCATAATGCATTGCTCGACACGTGAACTGCTTTCGCACGTAGAAACATCCGGAGAGAGACTTTTCGAGCTCATGATTCAAGTCTTAGTTAGATGACAATGTTCGGCTAAAGAGAAAGTGGTGGTACCGGTTCTACATCAACGTGGCTTTCTATTTCACTGGCTTATTATTTATACAGATGTGTGCTTCTATCAATGTGTTCATTTGTGTGTGTGTGTGTGTGTGTGTGTGTGTGTGTGTGTGTGTGTGTGTGTGTGTGTGTGTGTGTGTGTGTGTGTGTGTGTGTGTGTGTGTGTTCGAGAAAGATACAGCTAAAATGTCCATGATAAACACGCAGCACACCACGTTACCAGTAATGATTCTACTTCTCATGAGATCAGAGTAAAGCACACGTTTACTATTTACAGGTCTGTACAGGGTGTGTGTGTGTGTGTGCGTGCGTGTGCGTGTGTGTGCGCGTGCGCGTGTGTGGTCTGAATGTGAAAGTGTCTCAATAAGGTGGGTGCGGTCTCCACTGGAGGGCAGTAAACAGATCCCAGTAGAAGGGGGGAGAGAATTGAAAAGTAGAAGAAGAAACTGCCAAGGCGCTTCAGTTGCTGTGCATTGTGGGTAATGTAGGCTCATCCATCACAGCAGTGGTGGAACGAGCAGCTTGTGGTTTGTCGCCGAGGGCTCTTTCTTGTTATTCTGATGAGTTGGACCTTGTCATTGGCTGTGAAACTGGAGATAGGCAGTACCGGGTGGTTGTGGTCTCTAGTGGACCGAGGACTGGGGTCGGGCGGTGGGGTGGGGCCGGCTTCCCGGGTCCAGCTGGTCGTTGGGGACGGAGCGTCGGTTCTGGTCGGGTCGGTTGGTGGCCAGGTACTTTGCTCTCATACTAGAGGTGTACTGAAGACATGGAGGACAGGGAGGAGAGGGGGGGGGGTAGAGGAAGGGTGGTGGGGGACACAGGGAAATATTTCGGGAGAGAAGACAACCACAGGGAGAAAGTGGGAAACAATTACACAACAAAGAAAAAACAAAAGAAGCAAAACATGTATGGGTTACAATCAAACTGAATAGTACAATAAGTAATGTAGAAACAGTTCAAAGGAATAGTTTACCCACACAATGACCATTTGTATATTAATGACCCACTTTGTGTTACCCTGAATTCTTGAAGAAAACAGTTTATTGTCACATGTCTCCATAGCGAACAGTACGAAATAGGATTAGAGCCACATGTGATTCTGACTTCTTCTCAGAATGCTCACTTCAATCTGAGGAATACAAAAATAATCCCTCAAAAGTTTCCTCTGTTCTTGGATTCATTGTGTACCATGGAGGACGGTGAGAAAAACAACATTTCCTTCAAGAATTCAACGAACAGGGTAATTAAAGTAAACATGTTCATTTTGGTGCTGAAGTATTGATTTGACAGGTAAAAATGAACATCAGATCAAGAATTGTGAATGGTTGTAAGTGTTAGCAAGACACAAATAAACAGATATACAAATAGATAGATACACAATAGATAGATAGATAGAGAGAGAGAGAGATAGAGAGATAGATAGATAGATAGATAGAGATAGAGAGAGAGAGAGAGAGAGAGAGAGAGATAGATGGATAGATGGATGGATGGATGGATGGATGGATGGATGGACGGACGGATAGATAGATAGATATAGAGATGGATGGATGGATGGATAGATAGATATAGATAGATAGATAGATGGATATATAGATAGATAGATAGATAGATAGATATAGAGATAGATAGATGGATAGATATAGAGATAGAGAGATAGATAGATAGATAGATAGATAGATAGATAGATAGATAGATAGATAGATAGAGAGACGGATAGATAGATATAGAGATAGATAGATATATGGTAAGATAGATGGATAGATAGATGGATAGATAGATAGATAGAGAGATAGATAGATGGATAGATAGATAGATATTATTAGATTGAGATAGGATTATTACGATAGGCGAACAAACACACACAGGTACAGCAGAAACACTTTGCCCAGTCATTTGGACAGCCGGGGTTTGATTAACACAGTCATTGGTTATATTACAGCTGATTAGGTCTGGATGATGTTATTGTAAATTAGCAGATGTGGTTGGTCTTGTCAGTGGTTTGTAGTTAGTGCTCTAGTTCTGATGTAGTAGGTTAGCCTGGTATGAGTTAGTGGTCTCTTATAAGCATCTGGCTAGTTACTGCTGCAGGTCGCTGACGACGGGGAGCTCTCTGGACCGCAGTTTGGTCGACAGCTCTGCCTAAAAATGATGAATCGTGGCCATCTTGGTGGCTGCTAGAGTGCAACAGTGGAGGTGGGAAACGTGTGCTCCTGTTACTGTTTAATGGTGAAAGGTGAGGGGGCACAGAAACAGAGGACACACACACCTCGACGAGAAAATGCACACATAGACAGACTGTGGGGACAGGGGGGAGGGGCAGGAAGTTTAGAGGGTTGGGCTCAATTTGTTTCATCTTCACTGCAGGGCTCGGCCAGTTGATGAGGAGAAAGAATTGTGTCCTAGAAGGTTTAATATTAGTAGATTCTTTGTAATTAAATGAGGTAAATCCACAGTTCTGTAGCCCCCGAATGTTTACAGTTCTGCATGGAACCGAAACGCACAACTACAGGCCCAGCAGCACCTCGTCAAAGCAGGAGTAGTCGCAAATAGTTAAAACAAGAGATGCATTTGAGGCAGTATTGTGTCTTTTGGTGTGTAAGAAAAAGGTTGATACGCTACCAAAAATATCCTTTCAGTGTCTCTGAACAAGTTCTCCTCACATGACCAACCAGACTTTATACATCAGAAATAGAGGACAACTGTGTGTCTAACGTGACTCGACAATAACACTTTTGATGCAAGTGCAAATTCCTAAAAAAACGTCTTTTCAAACTTCCAGTTTTCCCAGGCTGCCAAAATGACCTTCATACGGGTTCCATGATCACGGACTACTTTGAGCACAGAGGACACTTGCAGTGGTGTAGGGATAGGGCACTACCTTCCAATATCCACACTAGCACGCTCTAACATCAGACGTGAGTACATTTATCAATACCATGCTTCCTCAGTTACTTCCTGAGATGATAAAATGCCCTTGATGTGGGTTCTGCGGTTTTTTTATATTTCCCAGCTGCACTGTGGGTATTGGAAGATAGTGGAGGGAGAGTGTGTTCTAGAAAGTGTGCACTTACAGAGGGTGGAGGGGACTCCCTGCCAATCAGGGGGGTGTTCTCACACCGAGGGTTCTGAAAGTTTGCGTTCTGGCTCCTGCATTATAGAATCAGAGGTTACTGCATGTGGTGCTCAGGGTCCAGCTGGTGTCCCTCTGTGGCCGGATTAATGACTCAATGATAAATAGCCTCAATGATAATTACAAGTCAGGGGCTTAAGATGGGTGTTACCATAAAGCCAGGGGTGAAACACCTCAGTCCAACATACTTTACATTCTTTCTTAACCCTTAGATGCATAAGTTTTTTGACCCGGTGAGGTGGTTTTCTTGAAGTATCTTTGTAATTACATTTTGTTATCATTTCATATTCCAGCTATTCCTCAAAAAACATGTTTTGGATATCATGCCATTCAAATTTACATTCTAAGAAATTGTAGTTTTTGTATTACTACCCCAAGCTTCCATAAGTGGGTCAAAAAGGACCCGCATGCATTTTCTCTGGAATCTCGTTTTTTTCAAAATGTAAAATAAATGTCTAAAATTATAAATAGTGAAAAAATAAATATAAAATATTTCTAGTGTGAACCAAAATATAATTTGAGAGATTTTTCTTAACCAAAATGACAAAAATGGCCTAAAAACACATATTATTCTAATACGGGTCCTTTTTGACCCACTAATGGAAGAGTGTAGTCACTCGTGCATCTAAGGGTTAACAATGCACAAAAGATCAACATGAAGTCTAACAAAGGGACACTGGCTCAGGGAAATTGTATTTTTATCAGTGTGTGTGTGTGTGTGTGTGTGTGTGTGTGTGTGTGTGTGTGTGTGTGTGTGTGTGTGTGTGTGTGTGTGTGTGTGTGTGACAGAGGCAACATCTGTGCGCTGCAGAGCGGAAACGACTGACAGCCAACAGGACTCATTAGATGAGAGTGCACAGGGGGAGGAGAAAGGGAGTAATTGAGAGGTAAAGAGGGACATCGAAGGATGCAGAGAGAGAGATCAAATCAAATAATGATCCTGAGAGAAAAAGCCGTAATGTGCTCTGAGCGTTTCATATGTTTGTTTTGAACATTTGGGAGAGGCAGCAGAGTTGCTGATGCATTGCAGTCAGCAGAGGGAGGAAGAGCTTTTAGATACCAAAGTGTCACTCAAACACGATCTGCTCTGATACACACACATATCACACAGACAAGACCACACACACACTTCCTGCTTAAAATAGAAGCCACATGTCAGGGTGAGACTCAAGTGTGGATGCTGAAGTGTATTGCTGATGTTCCTGCTTATTTGTTGATGTACAGTATCTGCCTTTGAGCGGTTACATTGACCAATCATATTATGTCCTTACTTCTTCATGGTCCAGTATTATAATACATACTTTATCATCACAAATTATAATATGTGTTGTCTTTCTACAGCACAACCTAAAGCCATCCCCAGTTGTCATAAAGATGGGTGGTTGTGAAATAGGAATGGTACAAAGCTTCTTGTTTATTCCCTAAGCAATACTGCACTGTTTGATCTCTTCAGGCATCTCAAAATACTTGAATAAAACAAAAACAAAAGTCTATTGTCGGACATGTTTAACCTGTAAGAAGTGTTTGAATGTAGACACTGCTTTTTTATATGGTTCACGAGCTTGAATGTTTTGGAAACCCTGCTTTATGCTGTTTATGCCGCTTTCTACAGCGGTGTGGAGTCTGTCATTTACCCCCAGATGACGTAAATATGAGCGGTTGTGAAAGACAATGGCAATCTTAGGGCATAGTGTACTGTTTAATGTCTTCAGGCATCTAAAAAGACTAAAATAAAACAATCTGAAAAGGATAAATAGTCTATTGTTTGACTCTATAAGAAGTGTTTGGAGGAAGAGGCTGCATGTTTTGGAATCACAAAAAACTGAAGAAATGTCTGATCGCTGGTTCTGTAGTTCATAGTCGGCGTACCTTGGTCGATGACAGCGTTTTCCTTGGTTACCCTGGTGATGTAGGTATCCGGGGAGACGCAGAAGTCGCTGGCTGACTGTAAAACACACACACACACACACACGACCCATCAGCCTACAGTACACTGAGAACACACTCGCTCGAGCGGTGGGAAAAAGAAAAAAGATTACATCACTGCGGAGCTCTGCGATGTTGCCATGGTTACACTTACAGCAGCGACAGCCAGTTCCATGCCGAGAGACCCCCAGCTGATTATCAGAGTCAAAACACCCAGCAGACACACTCTATGGGACACACACACACATGTCGTTAAAGTGAGCAACATGAGGTGCTCTAACATACACAGATCCAGAGTGTACAAAGGACTTCGGATCGTCCAATAGGAGCAGGTTTTGGAGAGTGATGTAATGTAGATTACCCAATCAGAGTGCCTCTAGAGTTGCGTATCAGGCCGAAGAGCACCAGGAGGCAAATGAGTACATCAAACAGCAGCAGGCCGAGATACCCCAACCACCTGTAACACACACATTTATACAGTGTTTAAGACAAATAGGGGATATTATTACATAACTAAACCAGCTGCTAATTAGAAGCAAAACACATGGTGTAGGACATTCACATACATAAGGGTCAAACTGAGAATTACATCACTAGCTCATTTGTATGAAAGGTTTTTGACTTACAGTATAAGGTATGAAAGTAAAAAAAATGGCATTGGTTTATTCACTGGGATTTGTAATATCTACTCTTTCCATTGTTTTAATGGTTGTTTAACGTTTTTATGGTATTAACGTATTTATCACGCCATAGTGGTTACATTTATTGTTTGTATAATACTGTATGAATAACCTATTTCTTTCATATTTAACCTTTATTTCACTAGGAAGTCCCTTTACATAAAAATAAGGGCTTCACCATTTTGAAAAACATCTAATTGTGGTTATTATGTGATCATTGACGAAATTAGATCATCATTAGATCATTTTTTAAACATAAAAATATATTTCAATCATCCAGGTGTGTGTTCCTTTTTTTAGATCATCTGTTACAAACCTATGTGTATGTTGGGACTTCTCCAAAGCATCACAAAACTTTATTCCTAAATATGTTTGATGTATTTATTAGCCTTGACCAAATATTGCACTTTCCTCCATTTGAATATTGCAAAAGTCTGAATTCCAATAATTATGCAGTCCTAATAAAATCTCTCCTTCAAGGTAGAGACCACACATAGCTTTGCTGATTCCCCCTCTGCACATCCAGCAAATACTTTGTATCTCACAAACACATATCAATACTTGTAAGGACTGACCTGTAAAAATCAAACGCCTCCGTCTTGCGGGCCAAGTCCTCCAGGGAGATGTCGGTGTTGGACCAGAAGGGAACGTCCACCATCAGCCGCACCAGCTCGTCCAGCTGTCCCTGCAGCTTCTGGACGATGGACACGTAGTCTTTCTGCTCCTGATAGGCCGTCTCCAGCTGCACCAAGCTCTCCTCCACCGTCTGGTTCAAGGCGAGAGCGCTGTCCGTCACCTGGACGTTCACAGGAAACACAAATCAGCTTTGATGGATCACATTAGGTCCTTCGATGCGAGAGGACAAATTCTTCTTCTGTTTTTTTACATCTGTGATTGTTCTAGAGCAGCGTTTCCCAACCTGTGGGGCGCGGCCCCCTGATGGGTCGCCAACGCATTGCAAGTGGGCCGCCAAATAATTTGCAAAACATTATGATTTGTGTGGAAACATTTCATTATTAAGATATTTTTTTATTTGAACCTCTTTTCCTTTCTCTTTCTCGATCCTCCTTAGCAACGGTCATTACAGTCCTTGACAGCGGTCTGTATTAACAACGTGTCACATGTTCTGAATTGAACTTTATTTAGCCCCCGTATTGTTTATGGTTGAATGTGGGCCGCACAATTTTTTAGATTCTTAATTGGGCCCTGAGTTGAAAAAGGTTGGGAACCGCTGCTCTAGAGTATTGCAGTACTAAATGGTACAAGTGTTTGTCTACCACTTTAAAGTTAAAACCGCTCCACCAGTTGGAAATCTGCTCAGATAGTAGGTCAACCTTTTGAGAGACTCTATCAATCAGCCTACCATGATAACATATTGAGGCTGTCCAACGTCATCTCTGAACCCAACCATGTCCTGAACAGTTAATATCAATTGTTGCCTTCAAATCGGAGATACAGGGTTCCACGATTTAAAAAAGTTAGACCGAAGCTCTCTTTTGTGCACCAGTCAATCCTCAAAGGAAATACAGAACTAAATCTCAGGTCAAATGTAAGTCAAAGGGTCTTGTTCCTCTTCAGTGATGTAATGTTATGTTAAATGTTGGTTCCCTTATATCTTGTCTTGAATATCTGTCCTTGTTGATGCTGCAAATGGAGCTGCTCTGATGCAAGAAACATTTCAGACTCGCTCTGACAATGAAGTATCATCGCATCGTGTCGTATATTTCCTTTTGTTATTTGACATTGGTGCAGTGTAGGGATCCAGCGGGCCACTCACCAGTTTCTCCACCCCGGACACGGTGCGGTTGGCGTGACGGAGGGAGTAGGCCAAACGATTGGCCCCATCACTCGACTCCCCGTTTCCGTAGAAACCCACGGCAATGCCAGCGCTGGAGGGCAGAAAACAGGAAGTGCCAAGTGTTAACACAATGACTAATTCAACCATCGGATGGCATAAACGTAATCAATATGGATGAGTGAGTTCAATAATCGTTTGTTTTTCCTTTTCTCAGTCATACATGCAGACTCACAACAAGGGCCGAACAGTTTATCGTTTTTCAAACATCAACCCCGTTATCTGCTTGTGTGGCTGTGGAGCAGGGGGTAAATGAGTGTTTACCAATCAGAGAGTAAATGGTTCAAACCCAAACCCCTGCACTGCAGTCAATAGGTCTAAGTGTCCTTGGGCATGTCTATGGTTTTGAAATGAATGGAAATAAAAACAGCTCAAAGGCTCTAAAATTGCAGTTACATTTTGAAGTGCAGATTTCTACTTATACTTTCTTTTGAATTACTTCAAAAAATCATTATCATTCACTTTTTTGATGTTGGAAATTATTTCCTTCCATTGTTTTTTATTTATAAAGCAAGTTGTTATATTTTTTATAACATGACGAAAATATTTGTTTACATTGTTTTTTTGTAAGCAATTTTTTTTTTGTTGCAGTGTACTGAAAGCAGCAGAAAGCTAGAATTGAATAGACTTTTATATACATTTTTTATAGCAAGTTATATCGATATTCAAAAACTGTTATTGCATATTTCCCTCATATGATGCAGCGCTACACACACAATAATGTATCAAGATGTGAAGTCATTAATATAGTTCCTCTGTTAAACAGCAACAGGGGGCGCTGAGCTCTTTGATTTGGTGTCACCCCCCCAGCCTCCAGCGCGCGCGCACGCACGCACGCACGCACATACAAACACACGCACACACACACATTCACTC